CAAGAAAAGAAAAGATAATTTCTATGGAATGTTCATAAAGTTCACTGTAGTTTTACGATGAAATTCGTTCAGAGGAAACATAAAGGCATGCAGGTTCTCGCTACAATTCGTCAAAATATTGTGAAGTTGATTTTTTATATGATGGAGGGTGGGTTGAACTTCTACTTAGTTTCTTGTATCCTTTGATGTTTTTGTTGATTCTTTTGGGGGTTTATTGTTGTTATTAGAGTTTGGGATTGCAGATAATAGATTCTTTACATTCTTTACATGTTCACATCATAAGCGTTTCCTTTGTTAGACCCCCGTAATCAAAGATTCGGGGGGTATATAGTTTTCCCTGTCCGTCCATCTGTCTGTTTATCTGTTTGCCTGTTTGTCCTCAAAAACTTTAACATTGCCCATAACTCGGAGGTATGACTTTCATATTTCACATGTGTATTCCTTGTGAAAAGACCTTTCTTTGTTTGGCATAATGTTTGACTTTTTGACCTTGGAGTTTGACCCAGTTTTGCAATGCTTAAACCAACTTTAACCTTGGCCATAACTTTTGAACAATTGGTGCTAGGTCTTTCATACTTCACAGATGTAATCCTTGTGATAATACTGTCTTTTGAATATCAACACCTTTGACTTTGGAGTTTGACCTACTTTTGAAGTACTTTAACCTTGGCCATAACTTTTAAACAATTGGTGCAAGGGCTTTCATACTTCACATGTGTATTTATTGTGACAAGACCTTTCTTTGCTTTTCAAGTTTGACCCTTTGACCTTGGAGTTTGACCTACTTTTGGAAAACTTTAATATTGGACATAACTTTTGAATAGTTGGTGCTAGGGCTTTCATACCTCACATGTGTATTTCATTTGACAAGACCTTCCTTTGGATACCAACAATTATGGCTCACTGACCTTGACCTTGCAGTTTGACCTACTTTTGAAAAATTTTAATCTTGGCCATAACTTTTGAACAGTTGGTGGTAGGGCTTTCATACTTCAGATGTCTATGTCATGTGACAAGGCCTTCCTTTGGATACCAACAATTATAGCTCACTGACCTTGACCTTGCAGTTTGACCTACTTTTGAAAAACTTTAATCTTGGCCATAACTTTTGAACGGTAGGTGCTAGGGCTTTCATATTTCACATTAGTATTTCTTGTGAGAAGTCCTTTCCTTGGGCACCATTAATTTTGATCATTTGACCTTCACCTTGATGTTTGACCTACTTTTGAAAAACTTTAACCTTTTCCATATCTATTCAATGGCTGCTGCTAGGGTATTCATATTTCTCAGGTATATTTCTCGAGACAATACCTTACTTTGGGTACCAACATATTTGATTTGCATTTGAGAAAGTTTAACCTTCACTTTAAGTTGCCATTCAGGGGCATCAGTGTTTCACAAACACATCTTGTTTTAAGCAAGGATTTTAAATCAAATATCTGTTCATTAATCGTATTCATTCTCGTATTCCAATATTCATAAAGTAGGCGGATGAGACTTGTTATAAAACAGTCCGCATTTTATTTTGTTTATAGCAACGTCATCCGCATTTTTTACTTCAATAGATTTTACATGCTTGATTGTTCTGATGACGACCGTCACTGGTGGGAAGCGGTCAACAAAATAAAGTACTATAGTCCTGCTAGACACATCATTACATGTGACGAAAATATTTTTGATAATGAAGGCCTTAAATCATTTATTTTATAAGGGCCGAAATTTAGGGAACACCGATCTTTCATTAGGCGGTGGTATAATTTCATAAATATAATGAATTCTGTTGAAAATTACGGCAGATGATGGACCAAACATTAAAAAGACCCTGACACTTTTCAGAATGGATGAAAAGTATCAGATGAATGTTGAAATGTCGCATAAAGCGATTGAGGAGCAATATGTCAATTATCTATCTTTTTTCCTTCAATAGAAAAAGAATTAGATAGTTTACACGATCAACATGTAATGCCAGCTGACAAAGCAGGTAACAACATTGTCTCTATTTGTAAGATTCATTATTTTAATTGTCTTTTAGAGGAGCTGGGATTGATATCTGCAAGTGGTAATCCAACTTATACCTATAGCTCTATTCTAAAGAGGAAATTCCTCAAAATCATATATCAGTTTTATATATTTTTAATATTCCCAATAATCACACTGATTCTGAATTACCATATTTATACTAAATCCTAAACTACATAAAAATGCTTACAAACATAGATACATAGCGGGTTCCAATAATTGCTCTACCAAGTCTCTTTCTTTACTCCTCACTAAGATGATCTCTTCATGAATACTGAACAACAATAAATTCGAGCAGTGGTGTAAATCAGATGTGCATACTTATAAACTCAAAAGAACTTTTAGAAAATTTGAAATCACAAAATTTTACCAAAATCAATAACATTAAAACGTACAATTTTTCAACACTTTATACAACCATTCCCCACGATAAACCAAAGTCCAGGTTTTTGACATTATGGACAGCTGCTTTTTCAATAAAAATGGAACTTGTAAATTTTTTACCTTCTCATTGGTCATTTGCAAAATTATTTTGTTAAAACATTCTGATTGTACACACAAGTTCTTCGAAGTTGATATTGAAATGATGCTTTCGGTTTCTGATTGACAATATCTATATATGTAGCTTTTGGAGGTCAAGTCTTCCAACAGTCTGTCGGAATTCCCATGGATATCAGTTACACACTTTATTATCACACCCTATTATATATATATATATATATATATATATATATATATATATATATATATATATATATATATATATATATATATTCATATGAAGGAAAATATATTGAAAATTTGTACATGAGAAGAAGAAAACACTTGCTGTGGCCTTCAACTCTACAGTTAGGTATACATGTATCGACGACGTATTATCAATTAACAATAGTTACTTCCATTCATATGTCAACTCGATATATATCCCAGTGAACTTGAAATAAAAGACAACACAGGGTCTGACACATCTGTTTCATGTTTGGATATTTTACTAGAAAAAGACGTTAATGATAACCTAACAACAAAACTTTTTGATGAATGATGACTTCAACTTTTCTATCGTCAACTGCCCTTATTTATTTAGCAATATACCCTTATCAACTGAATATGACGTTTATGTCTCCCAGTTGTTTGATGAACAAGAGCAGGTTTACGTACAAACAATTTCTAAAACGAGAAAAAATATTGATAAACAAGTTATGAAACAAGGATATCAACAATCTTGTTTGAAGTCAACATTTCGGAAGTTCAGTGGTCGATACAATGCCCTTGTCAGCAAATACAATATATCATTAAGTCGAATGCTGACTGACGTGTTTCATACTAATGTTTGGTCATTATTTACACGCTGAATTGTCGACGGATTTTTCCGTTTGCCCGATCACGACAAGGAGCACACGACGGGTAAAACCGGTCGACAGGGAATGCTTACTCCTCCTGGTACCTGATCCAACCTCTGATGCTTCTAGAGGTCTGTCTTTGTTCTGCTCCCGATCTGTATTGTTTCAATGGACTTTTGAGATTGATTACTGTTCGTTTTCTCCATATTTTATGACAAAATAGTCAGTCAATAACAGCTATAGTTTAACATTAAAGATTTGGGTTGTGCCAAGCTCATGGGATTCTCCAATAGAACAAAAGTAAAATGAAAACTCATATGTTTGATAAAAAGGACAAGACCCTCATAATCAGGTTAAGTCGTGGTCCATAATTCTTTTGTTAAACTACTTTCTTTCATGTTTTGAATTTGTTTTAATTTGTAAGTTCACCATAAGAGTAAAGAGATTAAAAATTGAAAACTTCTAAAATTTGGACTGTGACCCGTTTCTGTAACTGAGTGTACAGATTTAAATAGGGTCTAATAATTAGAAGGATATATGTCAGTCAAAATACTAAATTATATCTCAAATCGAAACTCCTACTTTATTCATTTATCTGTTTATGTTTGCTTCAAAACGAATACTGAAATCCAAATTAATTATGCTATTTATGACTATGACCACAGATTTGTCCATTGATGTCCTTAGATAAGATGCTTGACCTTTCAAGGATTTCGGAAAATCGTTTAAAGGAATGCTTTCAAGGGATCACATTGTGTTTATTTCACATGGTGTCGACTATAATTTATTGTCTTTAGCTTTTTATTGTTGACTGTAACAAAAGCAATTTTGTATAGAGCTTAATGCTCACTTTAATCGTGCAAATACTTTGCCTGCAAAATTTCCAGGAGGAAAGACATTGTACATTATCAAAATTTTATCAACTTAGCCTCATCGTTGAGCTAAGGATCCTTGGGAAAATGATCATCAAATTTTGCAAGAGGGCGGGCTACCTGGTCATTTTATTTTCATCCAGACACATGACATGTTAGACTTTCCATGAGTAAATTACATTTTTGAAGATTTGGATAATGTTTAGCTCAGAACACACACGTTTTTATTTTAAACTTAATAATTCGTTCCCTTTGCCTTTCATTATGATTATCAGCATAGTTTGAATCGGGAGAGTAGAAGCAGGACACTTGAATCATTTATGTGACGTTTAACATAAAATAAGCCCTTACTGATGGTCAGATGAGTATCATGAGGTTTTCAGGTTATGGCCACTTTAATACACCGCCCGAAGCTGAAACTCTAGTCAAATTTGTCTTCAATTTTACAGTTTAGTGAAGACTTAATGATCATTACAATAGTTATGCAGCTTGTCTATTAATGTTCGATATGATAGATAAGGTAAATAGTAAGATAAATTTCAATGTACATGTATGACCAATTAAGTTCCAACCTGGGGAATGATCTATGGACTTGAGGGACATGAATTGTTGTAGGAGTCTCCTTGCTTATTATAAATATGTGAACAGTTTTACTTACTTAAAGCAAGACGATAGATAACAATGATCGAAAACAGAAAGCAATGAGTCGCATGAGTGCTAAGGTGACCTAAAACTTGTAAATTAATCATTCGGTTTTCTCACATCGACATAAATGAATTCATATTTATTGTTTAGCATTTTTCTTAAAAAAAGATTTTATTTTTGAAATTTACTGATAGTTATAAAAATAGTAACGCAATATACACATTACCAATCACAGGATTTTTAACAAATAAGAAAGTAACATAGACTTTTCACTGTCCAATCAAATGTTCATCTCGTATTCTTAAGCACCCCTTAAAATAATTCAGTGAACGGACTGCTGTAAGTTTATTACATTTTTTTGAGATGGTGCTAAAATGTTTTCAAACAACTTCAATTGGTTGGACTACATCTTGGAATGGCTTATTAACTGGAATTTCTATTGGTCCAGGTGAATTACAGGATTTCTGAAATATAAAAAAAATGAACTCAAAATGAAATAATTAAAGAAGGTGCTAAATTATAAAAGGATCTCTAAGATTTCAAAAGTTGTTTATTGTATTATTGATGATACAATGGGCGTCTAGTGGTCACGTGACTAATGTCATGCGTTGTGTTCTTGTAAGTATAATTAAGGTACATTTAGATCAAAATACCTCATAACATTTTCTCCTGCAGAGTTTTGCGCGGTAGTCAAGGTACAGAGGTTCACCATCGATTAAAAAGAAACCTTTCATTTCCACTCGTCCAAGCCATTTCTGGTTTAACTCGAAAGGCACATTGGAAGGGGTAAATCCCAAGAGACTAACAGCTGACTCTATAGGACACCTACGTGAAAGAAAGAAAAATAAGACTTAAGTATGTTAAATTTAATTTTACCTTACGGAATTCATCACAAGCAATAATACAAAAAAAAATCAACTTACTCGTCTTCAATCAGCTTTATAGATTTCACCTCGTTAGTCTGTCTGTCAATACTATAGGCCTCCAGATATCTAATACGTGCACCCTGGGTATCTAAAAGAGTTTATTATTTTTGTACAGCTAGTTTGATAAAGTATATCGGAGTAAAATAGACTGTAATTTTCACATTTGTGTGTACCTGGCAATTTTCCCGTGGATTCTGCAAGAACATAGAAAGCATCGTTTCTTTGGACTTGCTGTAAAGGGCGCTCATTGGAATCCACAACTCTTACAGAAATAGGGTTTAGGTCAGCCGTGACGTCAACTGGGTTCTCTCCCATACGTCTAAATTTGATGAAAGTATTAAAATTATGAGAGGTATTTAATTGGAACGGGAAATACCTTATTCAAATGCTAGTGTATTATCATTCATGATTAAGACACTTCTCCAGAGTGTAGAATATTTATTACCTTTGCCCGTAGACACATTTGACATTATGTACTGTATCGGACATACTGAACAGGCCCTTGGTGTGCGCAGTGGCAACTTCTACTTCATATATTGTGTCTCCGGTCTGTTTTTAATAAACATAGACAATAGATAATCGAATCCAAAACAAATTTACAAATGAAAGGTTTCATTTTTTCTTCTTTTTTCTTTAAGCTTAACCTTTATATTGGTAAAGATGGGTCATCTATTATAATGTTTACTGCGCTTTCACTGTCTTCTGAATTCTGAATTATCAACCTGGAATTTCATTTTTAGGATCTATCTTTAAAAAAAGAAAATGTCAACAATGTACCTCTGGATTTTCTGTTTTCTTTAACGTACAAGGGGAAATTGCTTCATGTGGTATATCTAACTCAAACATCTTAAAACCTGCGACGTTGGTAAACATTTCTCTCAGCTTGCAGCCAAACATGCTTTGCTTCAAGAACATTTCTCCATTAAAATTAAGAGGTCGGTACGCTCTTATTTTCATTGAGGACATCCCACAATCGGCGCTCACTAAAATGATAATAAAAAATTAAAACATTAAGAAATATAAGAAAATTAGGAAGGACTTCTGACAGTTAATAAGAACCAATCTCTTCCGAATTACAAGCTGTTTCTAGACATCACGTTTCATCTAAAATACGTTATATTGAATCATATTAAATCAATAAATCCAATAAAATATGGCTTAAAGGTTATGTGACTATTTAAAAGGATGAAAAATTTGCATTTACAACCATTTTTTAAACTTACGAACAGGTACTTCGCATTTGGTTCCAATGAAGTCTTCGGGACAGAAACAGCGTGTCCCGCCGAAGCAGATTCCTTTGTTCATACAAGAGGCTCTGCAGGCCGGTCCCGTTGTTATGGCAGCTGATGTTTTACAATTTGGATTCATTACTTTCATGTTATTTCAATTTCATATAGATTTACAAAGAAGGTTTTATTATCTATAAATATGTACTGCAATTTGAAGATGTTCCCTCAATCATTATTGTTTAAAATCCTTTTTTATTTAATAAGGTGCCAAAGTAAATTCAACGATATGGACATTTTGAAAGTGGAAATAAGATTTTTTCTGACATTTATTGCATAGTCAAGTCTCACCAGAATCCAAACCGCAGTCATACTCGCTGAAACCTGGAGGGCATTTACATCTTCCAAAGTAATCGCAAGCCCCTCCATTCCTGCAATCATAACCAGCGTTCAGACAATTGTATCCCCACCCTGCAAATAAACCTTAACTTTAGGAACAACAAAGCTTAACATATTATGTTTAAACAATTCCAACAATTCTAGAAATTAAAAAGAAACAAGATACAAAACTCTTAAATATCCACTTTATACACTGTACGTCAAAAAAGATATGGGAGTGATTTTGGTTTTTTTTTCATTTTTTTTCATGATAACATTTGAAAAAAAGAAGAAGAAAATTTAAGTTAAGTAAAAAACATGACTAATCGATTCTAACTATATGAATTTACATTACTTAAGCATTGAATTCTTATTTTTGGATGTCGTCGGTCGTATTACATCACATTGCCGTGCAAAGAAATTAAATAGCAGGTTATACGACCGACGACATCCAAAAATACGAATTCAATGCTTCTATTTACATTCTCTTATTTTCTCTCTTCATAAATGTTAATTTTATTCATTTTCTTTTTAAATTTAGTGCTTTTCAGAACTGATGTGGTTAATAAACGTAAGAGCCGTTTTGACTCGGAAAGTTAAATAACGCAAATGAACATTGCGAAGGAAAAATGACAAATTTTGAATGTCCAATTGTTACATATACAACAATTCACAGGGGGATTGTTTTAATTAAATAAAGCCAAAACAATATATATTTTGGTGATCCTTATGTTTTGAAAATATATGAAGTTTATTCGTGTATTCTACCGCGCCGTGACAAGGTTTCGTATGTTATAGGGGTTTGAATGTTGTAGATTTCTAATGGATTTCATAAAGAAAATTACACTGAATGTTAATACATGTATATGTATATTTATTTCTTTGATTGCTTGTATAATTTATTTTTAATCATCACTAGCTTAAGCCAAACATTTCAACTATTAGAAAAAAATAGAATAGAAACTAGGAGCTAAACAAGATGCTTTATAATGTGAATTAGCAGGAAGCCAGACAATAGCTTCTTAACAATACATTATCCTAGCATATTGTGATGAATACAGATGTTCTCGCTTAAGTTCAAACTCCATTTAGCTATTCATTCTAAATATTAAACAGCATTCCTTATTAAGGATAACCATGATTGAAGTGAAATAAAAAGCAGCTGTTGTGATGTTGATGTTGTTGTTTTTCCTTTGTGCATTGTTATACTTTTCTCTCATTCTTCATTCTTTTCAGTTCTTCGACATTATGTACGGAATGATTTATTTCCTTCTGTTTCAAACTTACCATAGCCGACAAAGCTCAAGAAAACCAGTGGGAAGAAAGGTGACATTATTCTAAAACAATAAAAATGAGATAAAGATAAGAAAAAATGCCATAAGAGTGTAGTCTATTTCGGACAGAGTTCATGATGCGTAGTCACGAAGTATTTGGATAGGTTATGCAATGATAAGAAATGATATCAGGAAGAACTGTCCATTGTGCATTATTTTTCATTTGTACACTTTTTACGTGTTCGCAATTGTCATTCTTTCAATTTACATGTTAAGTAAAGTTGTCCGACAAGGAAAATCGTGCGACATCATTTACCAAGGTAACTAAAATAATTCAAGATGTCAAATGATGTATAGTTTATGTTCAAAATATCAAAGAAGTCCAAGTTCTAGATTGCTAAGTATCCTACATTATTAATGAAACCTCAATTAAGTTTTATAAAGTTTTATAAATTGAATAGAATTAATGTCTAGCAACACTAAATTCTATTACCAATTTAACAGCTGTCACACCAAACATGGGCGAAGTTGATTCCTGAACAGTAATTAAACATTGCCATGTGGCTTTTTATGAAAATGAGTTGTTTGAATATAGGAAAATTAAGTGAAAGTATACATGTAAATATTTTCATAACTAAATGAATGTTCAATGCATTATACTGTTAATAAACCTAGACATACTTTTCTTTTTTTCAAATGTGAATTAAAAACAATTAAACCATTTAAAAACATATATCTTTTAAGGACAGAATGTAACTGTCATAAATTAAATAGAAAATGCAGTTTTAATTAGTCAAACTAGACGACTGTCTTACTAAAACACATTAGTGACACCTCATTATTTACAGTGATATTTTATATAACACCTGCCCAGAATTTCTGCACGGGAGACACATTTACTAAAGATTCTGGTTAGAAAAAGAAGTTGATTTCAATGCGTACCACGCATTGATCCGCTTATTAACATTCAGATTAACTTGCAACAATGATTCTTTGAAGCTGGCGTTTTGCTTTAAAGCAGATAGCAAATAAGAGCAATATTAGAATAGACGTTATCCACCCTATCATTAAAGGTTTGTAATGGGATTTTTCAAATATTATAATTAAAGCATTATATTTGGGAAACAAACCATTTGCAAAAGTTCTGTTTTTATAAGGACTTTAAATCCAAACTTAAACCAGGAAATAGATAAAGAAATTCAACGACATGTAAACCACAATCAACAAAACTTTTCTCAGATATTGTCTTGTGTTAATGCATTTAATATCATTTCAAAAAATATTTTTATATCAAAGTGGATAGCAAAATATTCTCGTTATCAGAAAATAAAGAATGAAAGAAAAAAAGAAAAAATAAAAGATATAAAGAATTAACTCGAGGTAATTTCAATTAAATCGGTTGTGAAAACAACATTTAATACTAACTATTATAAATATCAAACCATTGTTCTTCACCATTGATTTGTATTTTATCGTTTTTGACACCACACTAATCGGAGACCCCAAAAATAAATGCATTTTTAGAGAAATATGTGCAAAAGATTAAAAGAAAATAATATTCAAAATTGACATCAATAGAATGTTTTCTTTTTAAATATCATATATTTATACACATGAAAAGTGACCCCCGTACCTACTGCACAATAACTCATTATAGGCAATTAAAGTTGATACAAATATTACTTACTGCTCTTTGGGTTCCTCTTGGGTTCTTGAAGCATCCAAACTGGCTAATGAATTTCATTATGGCTCATTTGCATATCTCAAATTAACATTTCCCTTGTGGTTGAAGGTTTGTGAGGATATTGTATTAATTATTTTTAAAACGTTACATTTGTGAAAGTAACAGTGCGCATAATTTAGATGACAAACCTTGCAATTCATTAAGGTGAAAGATTCTGGATTCTAGCTGCTTGCCAAAGAAAGAACACGTAAGTTTGTAATCGATTCTTATGAAAACACTTCTCAATTGATTATCAGACTTTTTTAAAAATTATTTCATGTATCTTATAAGGAAATATAATTTTAGACTGTTTTGCCTTATTAAATAGCTAAAATTTATAATTCTTTTTATAACTAATTTCATTTATTATCAAAACAACCAATGATTTAAGTTTATTGAATCCTGACCTTTTTGGTTGGGGGGTGGGAGGGGGGGGGGGCATCGATTTGTTTTTGTAAATTATGTGTGATGCATATTACCTGAATTCAAATGTTACTATATCTTTCAAAGATGATTCTCTTATTATAGATTATTATTATAGATCTAACAGAGAACTTCAAAAAACCTACTCAGATACTTACTTGTTAATAAGATTTTGAGCTGATATACTGCACTATAGCTACCTAGATATTTCTATTATGCGTGAAATACCCATAAAATATTTATCCTTTCCTTTTACTTTATGTTGTTTACCATTTAAATACAGCTTCTCATAATGTTTTCAAAACAGTTAATCTGACCTCTCTTTTTCTATTTTATCTGATACATTAAGATGCACAATTTTTTTAAAACAAATTTTCAAGAAAATTTTACTCATGTATGGATGCCATCAAAAATCTACACAAATGAACTCCACTCAATACAGCGTGCAATTTTACATGTATATTACAGTTTTAAGTTTTTATCCCCCCCCCCCCAACAAATAAAGTAAACGAAACTTGCATGGATTTTGGCTAGTTATCATCCTGAGAGATGTGACAAATTAAAATTTAGCAACAAATCAAAGATCTGATTTTAGATTTGTATTGCCATTTAATCCAAATCAAAATTTTTAAACCTGATTGCAGACATCTAGACATCATTGTGTTGGACTTTTAGAAATGAATCCGACTGTTACGAACTTATTTCTATAAATGTGAATTGTGCTTTGCTTTGATGAAACTAAACACAATTGTCAATTACCCCCGGTAATGAATGAGTTACACTAGGCAAAATGTCTTCAAATGTTAACAATATAACTGCCGCATTTAGCTCGACGCATGCGCTTTAATCAAGTATCTTTTTTCAGAATTAAATTTTTCTTTTAATCAAGTTTATTTTTCTTGGTAATTCGTTGTCAATATTTAACAATTATTGAATTCTTTTACTTTTTCTGGCATTGATTTTGCCAATGTATTGTATTCGAATATCTTTGTATTTGGGTTTTAAATGTCAAACCGCAAATTGAAAATTAGGACTAATATTTATGTTAAAACAAGTACATCGTTCACTCCCAGATAACATGAAAAAAACATTGACTTCGAAATCGGTTATTTTTCATACTATGCCCTATGAATACAGAATAGACACTCTCTGTTTCTAATCAGCACAAATGTCAGCAGGGATTCGTCATCCATGACAGTTTACAAAACTCCCAACATTATATAAAATAATGCTACTTTTTTGTGGAGTTTTTTTAAAAGCAACCCTTTGCTCCATATGAATTAATATTTTCACCTTAAAGAAGATAACAGCCTGAAATCCAACCAGGTTTTGATGAAAACAAATATTATATTTGTGATGTTTAATATTTAAATGATGAAGGATAACAATAAGAATTTTTTTCTTTAAGTATCTTCTAGGTAATTTGCTGTATTTTACAGTAATTCAATTCATATTAGAGATGGTGGTCACATAGCTATCCAATTCTTCCTTAATACAAAATATTCGATACTCAAAAGCATGCTCTGAGTAAGATTAATGTATAAAACAAAGCAGGCTACTGATAAATAAGTTTATGTTACAGTGATTTCAAGAACTTCGTTTTACAACAGCATTTCTTATATATTAATGCCGTTATAATGACCTTGTTAGCAAGTATAATCTATGACTGGGTCGTATTTTGACGGACATGTTTAGTTAAATACCAATTGGAAGACCATTATTTTAAACTAAATTTAAATACGAATTATTTCATCTACAGGATTAATACATAGGGCTCGCCGCGGGTGTGACGGGTCAACAGGGGATGCTTACAACTCCTAGACACATGATACCACCTCTCTATTTTATTATTTAGAATTTATTTTTTGCGGACAGAAAGTACATTCCTCAGATTTATTTTAAAAACTTAAATAAAGTTTATTTTCGAAGGTAAGAATCTGTAATGTTTATCAATACCAACAATAATGTATGGGTCAGAACAACCGTCAAAAAAATCATAACTGGAGGTCGCTAGTTCGTGGACTTTAGCAATTATCCATTATCCTCATTTCCGGATCCGTTAAATTTTAAGATGCTTACTCGCCACAGCTAGATTGCCAGAGTGTTTCATTACTATTAGTGGTGAATAAAATGTTCACGTTCGGCAAGAAACCAATCACGGTAACCTAGTGATAGGGCGTTCACTTCGTGATCGGGAGGCCCGGGTTTGATTATCGTTCCCTGCGCCGCGTTAAACATAAGACGTCGCCAAGCGCCCGGCACTAGAAGTGAAATTCACGGGTCTTTCGGATGAGACCTTAACAACCGAGGTTCCAGGTCACGGTAGGCATTGGCACCATAAAGAACCCTTACTGTTCAAAGGCCCTGAGTGTCAAGTATAGGTCTAAATTTGAAACCCATCACAGGTATATGGTGTCGTCTCTATATGAGTGAAAAATTCTCTAATGGGACGTAAAACATACTATCAATTAATCAATCAATCACGTTCGGCAAGAGAATTCTCTCTGTTTTTGGATAAAGAAAGTGTGTATTCCTTATCATAATGATTATTTTATCGGAAGAAAGAAAAAATCTGAATATCTGACATACCTGTAACGAAAAAAGGGGAAGATAACAAACAGTGATCAAACTCATTAATCCTGGAAACAAAACAAATGATGAACAGGACAAAAAAAAACACGGACCCCTGGAATCAAGAAATGTGGGATAAGGTGCCTATGAGGAGTAAGTTTGCCCTGTCAGCTAGTCCCTATGTATTGATCTGGTAAACGAGGTAATCCGTAGTCAAATTGGATATTTAAAAAAAAACAAAAAAACAACGGCTTAACAATTCGTAGGAAACATGTTAGTCAACATACAAAAAACGTTAGGTTGTAATTGCAAACAATGTCATTATGATGTCAACATAATTTGCTACATGCTGACTTTTAGGACGGATGATACAAACTATGAAAAAAGCAACTTTAGTCATGTTTATATAAGTAATATGAATAAGTGCTAATAACTGCACAGATCTTAATTTTTCATTCAAAATTTCACTATCATGTCCTATAAAGTGATTAAAAATTAATACATTGTTAAGGATGGTAGCAGAAAGGTAGAATTCTGAACATCAAAGAAAGTTTACAATTTCTTCTTATTATTGAAATTTTATATACGAGGGGTTATCAAAAAGTTCGTGGACTAGCGTCATAAAATTAAAACCGCTTAAGATACATCAATGAATTTTTAAACATTAAATAAACATCTTCTTTTCTATCCGTAAAATAAACTATATATCATAAGTTTTATTTTTGAGTGAATCGTAAATGTTTTTGTAAGCAATGGTATGTCAAGGCGGCACAACCTCGAACATTACGTATTTTCTACCTGAGTGTAACTGAGAAAAACTCTTCTTAATATGAGCATTTGTCATCCGAAATCCCCATTAATTCACTCATGTGATATGACATAATTTTTCCGTAAAAGTTGCAATTTTTACCTGATTCTATATATTCTATGAAATTTTATTGTAAATTTTATAGGGAATGTCCAAACAACATAGGGGTTAAAAATGCCGTCGAAAGGGGGTAGGGTGTCATTTTACAACATTCTATAAAGTTTCAGCCCCTGGAAAACCTGACATAGACCTAGAGAATGTTTAAACAGGCTACAGAGAAATAAAATACATCCAGAGTACTTGTGTTTAAATACCAAGACAGATTCAGCAAGAAAAGAGACACACGGTTAATGTCGATTTGTAGTCAGGGTGTCCAAAGTCAGACACGTCGAAAAGTGACGTTGATCATTGGTTGACATTGAACACCGGCAAGAAAATTATGCTGGCAAATCAAGCGAGGATCTTTTCATATGTATAGATTTAATATTTACAATATTAATGCATTGAAATCAGGTGTTCATAACATTGTAAAGTCTTATAAACAAGACGGGTTTAGGTCTTTACTTTACTCAAGAGAATCTCATCAAGATAAGTGTATTGAGGCAGAGGGAGCGGGCATGGAGAAATAATGACGTTGTCGGACGTCAAAAAAATAAACGGCGACATCGCCGGGTGATCATATAATGCTCTTTTTATTTAATGATAATTTGGCAAATTATCAACAAGCTGAAATTTTCAACACTTCTTAAACTTTTGTTGTTTTATGTTCCCTACAAATTTTGTAATCATCAGCTACATAGTATTAATTTTATCGCATCAGTCCACGAACTTTTTGATAATGTATGTATCATTTACAACCAAAATAGATACAGAAATATATTCCAATCTTGGCAATCAATTTTTTGTTTGCATTTAAAGACGACAATTTACACCTTAAGGTGCCTGAAAGAAAGCATCTTTTCAAATTAACAACATTTATATTCCATTATAAATATGACTAAGAGTTGATAAGCATTATAAATATATGCTGCTTTTATTTTTTTTTTTTATCTATTTCAGAAGTTTCATAATCTACTCTTGTCACGATAAATATTTCAATAGATATTTTGTACTTTAACATCACCAGAAAAATCTTTTTCAAAATTTTTATTTGGTCTTTATGACTTTTTAGATCAAGATGATTCAATTATTTATGTATATCTATGTATATAAATTATTAATGAACTAAAACACAATTGTTTCTTAGTGACAATCCTGTTTTGATTTACAAAAGTCATGTAACGATTGTCCTTCTAAATCAGTGTAACACGGCAAAATTATTTGAAAACAATTACAAAAAGGCCAAAAAATGGTTGTAGTTAGCTTTTTATTAGAAATGTTTGCCAAAATTGTTGAAAATGAAACTTTTCTTCGAGAAGATTAAGTTTGAATATAGATGTATTAGTTTTAATATTCGGTCATCTGTAAAAATATGACTGTGGCTAAGAAATGTTATTTAGCAAAAGATGTGGAGAAATATCTCAAGAAGTTGTTTTGACAAAGTATATGGTCTATCACTTTCAATTGTATGAACCTTTCAAAAGATTTGAATGTCAGCCAAAGTGCTTCAGATATTTGTATGCAAAAAAATGACGTACACCAACCCCTAAGAAGGGAAATATACAAATGCAGAAGATTAATCACATTGAAAAATTATCTCTATGTCTTCTAATGCTAGACAATCTCACCGCGGCTAGTTTTTTGCTAAATTTGAATAAATCCAAACGCTTTAATAGAGATGAATTATGTCTTTTATTTAAATGATGGTATAAATGTTAACAATTTTACACACAAGAAGGGGATCAGACTAACAAGCTCTGATTGAAAGTTACGTAAAATATTATGTCTGATCCCCCATAAACGCTAGAAAAAGTACCTATAAAACAAGACAATCAAAATATCACAAGAAAAATTTAGCAAAAAGACCGCACATCAAAAAACATGGGTATCAAAAAGATGGCACATCAAATCAAAATGGGTACTTATTAAACAAGACAATCAAAACATCACAAGAAAAGGTAAGCAAAAGATGGCACATCAAAACAAAATACAGACTCACAAGCTATGATCGTAAATTACGTAAAATATGAAAATTTCTGATCCACAAAAAATGTGTAAAGTACTATAAACAAGAAAATGAAAACGTCATATGAAAAAGTTGGCAAAAAGATGGCACATCAAAACAAATTGGGCAATATGATGTGATATGCACACCGTGTATGATGTGATATGCAGATCTCATCCGTGCCATCTTGCACGGTATGACTTGCATATCACATCTTGAGGCCCATTTTGTTTTGATGTGCAATCTTTTTGCTAACTTTTTCCATAAGGATTAAATACTTGTAAAATTTCTTTATTGTAAAAGTAAAAATCCTTAGGTCCACGCCTTGACCAATTTGTCAATTAATTACGCCTAGCCAAGGATGGGGGTATAAAGTCATGTGGTCAGCTTAGCGAGGCAGTTGTATTTTGATATCTGCACAATGACCACCGTTTACACAAGGCACGTCTAATTTGAAGACCCACCACCACCCCTTCGATCCTTTCCCTATTCTTATGATTAATATATTATATGTGCCATTTTGTTTTGATGTGCCTTCTCTTTGCTATTTTTTTCTTACGAAGTTTTGATTGTCTTGTTTATACATGTAGCTACTTTACTCATTTTTGGGGGGATTAAACATTTTCATATTTTACGTAACTTACAGTCAGAGCTTGTGACTCAAATCCCCGCCTATTTTATTTGATGTGTCGTCTTTTTGCTAACCTTTTCCTGTGATGTTTTGATTGTCTTGTTTTATAGGTACCCATGGCAATTTTGTTTGATGTGCCATTTTTTTCCTAACTTTTTCTTGTGATATTTTGTTTGTCTTGTTTTAAAAGTACTTTTTTCCTAGTCGTTTTTTGCGGGATAAGACATTATCATATTTTACGTCTTACAATCAGCCCATTTTGTTTTGATGTGCCATCTTTTTGCTAACTTTTTCTTGTGATGTTTTGATTGTCTTGTTTTAAAAGTACTTTTTTTCTAGTCGTTTTTGGGGGATCAAACATAATCATATTTTACTAACTTTCAGTCAGAGCTTGTGTGTCTGATCCCTTTCTTGTGTGTTAAATTGTTTACGTTTTACACCGTCATTTAAATAAATGATATAATTCATCTCTATGAAAGGCGTGAATCTAAGAATTTTTACAAGAAAGGAATTTTACAAATATTTAATCCTTATGGAAACCTCTACATTGATACCCGCATTGAATACATAAATACATGTACAATCATTATTCTATTAATTGTTGTTTGCTATATTCGAAAAATAACAAGGAAATGAATGTACATGTATCCAGCTTACTGAATATCAAATAGAATTCTTGTATTGTTGCATGGAAAATTTGCTGTAAATTTGAAAACAAAAACTTACTCTTTAACTTTGAAATTTTGCCTTGTTTTTCATTTCCTTGACATTTTAATAGATTTTGCAAAATAAGCATATTTCCAAGCATTCATTCAATTAAATGTGAAGTGAAACCTATTAATCTTAAGATGTTTTGGTTTGCTGTTTATGAATTATGCACATACATGTAAATATACCTTCAAAATAAGATGTGAAAAACCTTAAATAACAAAACACGTATAAAATAACGTGTTACATATCAAGGCCATGAAGTCAAATGTTGAATACTTTACTTGGTGACGTAATTTAAGAAATAAACAACGTTATTCAGTGAACATGGCGTTATGAATAGCAATTGCTCTGCTGGCATATTCCATGATGCGCGCTAGCACATCATGGAAAATATGCCAGCAGAGATATTGCTATTCATAATGCCATGTTCATTAAATGATCGTTATTTATTACTTATATTTGCATTCTGTGATGTTGTCAAGAATATCAGAGGAAATACTGGATTACATAAGGGTACGGCTACTTGTCTCCAGTAAGGAAAAAAAAGCATGATAATAAAATGAGTAGACCTGATTAATCAACCCTTTCTCAATAAATTACAAATAATATACGTGATATATTCTGATTCTCAACCACAGTTATCTGGATACACACCGCGGCCGCGTCGTCTTCAAATTTTCGTTTTTTTGTTTTGATGCAGTTGTGACGTCATCGAAACCCTCTGGAAAAAAAAGAGAGTGCTTTTATGTTGATTTTAACTTAATAATGTTTTTACTTTGTTTTTTAAGTTCTTAAAATTCATTTCATGAGCTGAAATCTTTCTTAAAATAGATGTACTATTACAGATATTTCGTTTCATTTGAACGTGAAACACCCTAGTGTGAAGAGTTATCGTTCTTTGCAAAAATATGCGTAAATATGAACAAAAAATAAAGATATAGCAGTTCTTTTCAATTTGTAAAAAGTTTTATTATACAATTAAATCTTGACCGAAATTTATTTTTTAAAGATATAAATCAGCAATTATAATCATTTTGAATTTCTTTTTTTCCTGATAATATTATTAAAAACTAATATTTATTCCTTTTGCAGAACATTTGATACATATACTTCTGAACGCGTTAAATCGGTGTATTAACTTGTACTGTGCGAGTGTTAGAAACGAAATTGAACTCACAGCAGAACAAGTTGCGTCTAAAGTCCTATGAACGCAACTGTTGAGTGCAGGTTTATAGTGGGAGGAAACAGGGAATGCAAATATAAGAATTTATTTCTCTTTGCAGAATGTCCATTTTACATCTCCTCATCACGTGTTGCCTGGCAGCAGTAGGTTTGTATAAATGTTTTAGGAAAATTGTAATTGTGATGATTATTTACCCGAAGTTAAGAAAGCATTAAAGGTAAATAACAGTTCCAACTTTACCCTCATTACCTTATTCTAATCTCCAGTAAATTTGCTTCTTTATTACACATCAATGAGATTCATCTTATCAAATCAAATTTTCATAATATAATATAATGCAGTTAACATACAGCATGATTTTTTAAAGGAAAAATTAAAATCTTTATATGTGTATAAACGTGTTTAAAAATAAAAAGAAATTTTTAAAAAGTTTTTGGGAACATACTTTCTTTTCAAACCATGCATCTATTGATTTGTAAAGGAATATTTTTATAGCATTTGCTAAGTACGACTGCACAAACAATGGAGGTTACGGCTGTAAATATGGTGGCACGTGTCACTTCTATGGCTTCTGTATTTGTCCCAAAGGCTTCCAAGGTCACGATTGCGGGTTAAAAACAGGTGAGTCTAACAGAACAGCATAGAATAACACACATGTATGCGAAAACAAGTAATAAAACCGTTTCTTTTCTAAATGTACAGTGTATATGCAATTGAAAATCTTTCAGAAAAGAAACACAGAATTCAATATTGCTTTATGATCTCTTTGTCAGATGCAATGAGCACAATAATTGTCTTGCAGAATTCATTACCCCAGCTGCTGCCTGTACTGTCGACTGTAAAAATGGCGGAACTTGCTATGAGAACAACAGATGTTTTTGTCAAGATGGATTCATTGGCGAACATTGCGAGATTCCATCCAGTAATGAGGAATAAAATTTTTACTTTAAAGCCAAAATTGAGAATATAAAACAATATAAATGTATGAAAATAAGAAAAAAAAATTCTAATGCTTTCAAGAGCTGTTACCCTGTTACTCTCAATATCTTTTAATCGTGAACGATTTGTTCCTGTGAACAAACACTTCATCGCTTATTCAGTAACAAACAGTCATGTTTATCTAAAAATATCTCTCTTTTATGTAGAACATAGAACATACTTGAATACACATGGAAGTTCGTAAAATAAGTTAGCACTAAGCAAGGTTAACATAGATACAATAATATATGTACACTGTGTTTCTCAATAGCTGTAGCCAGATGTGCCCCCGACAAGATGGTCATTGAGGCGTACAGACCCCTTGGATTTACAGGAGAGGTTTACATCTATAAGAACAGAAAATCGTGCGCTTTAAAGCCTGTACCCTCAGATATGCCGGATATGATGAAGCTGCAAAAAATGGTTCTCCATAGCGACAGGACCGAGTGCGCTCTCACACGTCAACCTGACACACCAAAGGTAATCATTTATTATGACTTTGAAGCTCATAATTGTTGTTTATATAGTTCCTTCTTTTTAACAAATCTCAAAATTTGCGCATTTTTGGTAAGAATATATAGCAAAATTTAATACTGTTGTGCAACCGTGTTCCTTTACTAGTCACTTTTGTTAAAATTCAGATCCTTTTCAACAAAAATTACAATCATTGTCAAATAGAGTAAGTCAATATGACAAATATTATAATAACGTGAAATAGTCAAACAGAGTAAATAATTATAACAAATATTATAATAATGTGAAATAACAGAATCAAAGGTGCTTGTAGAAAACTAAGATGTTGATTTTATATCTACTTCTTGTAGTTAGGTGATGTAACAATGAAAACCACCGTTGTGAGCACTTTCAACTACAATCAGTTTGGACCACGTGACAAAATTATGGAACTTTCCTGTGTTCATACAAATAGGTAGGTATAAAATAAAAATGAGTGTCTTCAATATTAATTTTGGATAATTGTACATCATCATGACAAGCGTTGTGTTTTCCATGTTGCAGTTTCCAAGGAACTTCAAAAGAAATCACAGAAACAGCTTTCCCATTCCGCATGGTGGCGCTTGACATGAATGGAGAGCCAGTGCAAGCACTGGCTGCCAATGAGAGCATTATTCTGCAGTTCGAACCTGTTGGTCTTCCAGGTAAGTTTGTTGTGTGTTGTATTCCAAACGAAATATTCACTAATAAAAAGGAGAAAAAAGAAAAGAAATTAATCAATGATATATAACATTTCAGTGGTATTTGATGCTAAATGAGGTTTTTATATGGTGTTCTCAAGACATCTAAATTCATAGCACATGTATTATGAATGAGGGGTAAACGAAGTTAAACATTTTCAGGCGCAAGTAACACGAAAACTGCAAACAAAATTTGACGAAATTTGGTGAATGTTAGATACATGAATTTTCCTTATGATAATTATTTAGCAGCTGTAATGGGGGGGGGGGGGGGGGGGTCAGTGTGTGCAGGTTCTGTTAACATTTTAATTTAATTTCCTTCCAAATATTGCTTTTCATTGTCAGAAATCAATTTTATATTTCTGAAATAATGTATTTATTCATTTATGTAAATTTTTCAACGATGTTATTTGCAATATATAATTTTTACCATTTTTTAAATTTATCTTGGTGGAAGCAAAGACTAATAATGATCTTTCTTTCTTTATTTATTTTTTTTTTTTTGTATTTACACTCACCTTGTTTAATATTAAAAAAATTGAATCATGACATCGCAACAAAACATTTCAAGGTAATCTGCATTAATATATAGAAATAAAAGCAAAAATTTTGCCACTGAAAGCAGTGGCATATGTCACCCAAATTTGACTTTCCTCAGTTTACCCTGAATAAATATAATACCATGAAATGACCCCCCCCCCCTTACATGTACCTTGTTTATTGGAGATAAAAACAGAGTTAAGCAACTACAATTGTTTAAATTCTAAAAAACACTTTCAGAAATAACCCTTTCGTTTCCATGGCAATGTCGTCTATCTTGGAAATTTTTGAACCCAAGAAACCTTAGGGGACACTAACACAAAAGTATATAGTTTGAAATAAGTTTAGAGGAAGAATTCAAATTTAAACAAAGATTTCTCTTTGATTCCATGGTAACAGTAATAAAGATCGTTCAACCGATACCATTTTTTGCAGAAATCAGAAACAGGTAACAATCCTTTTTTTAAGAAAATAGTCTGGGCAGTTTTATGAGAAAAAAAGAGAAGAAATTCAAAATTTTCATATCGTTAGTTTCCAGGCAACGGTGCCCATTTTGAAAATTTTAAACAATGCATGCATAACAATATTTGGTGATTATCAATATTTGAAAGTTAATGATTCTGAAAGGCGTCCCCGAGAATTCCTCGGACAAAATTATAACTGGAACAAAAACAATTTGTTTTCCCGAGTCTCATCTTCGCTAGCCAAGGGTTTCTGATGAGGAGAGTAGCGTATCAGAAACCCTTGGCTAGCGAAGATGCCCGAGTCTATAAACGGTAACATTATAATTGCCCATATTCTAGAATATGTAGAGATAAGTAATGCCTGCTAACTTTGATGTGACACTCAACGTTTCAGATATGTCACAGCATTTAAAGAAAGTGAAATATAATATAGTAGCAAATTTTGGAATTCTTCTTCACACAAGGATTAATCGGGGCATTTACAAGAATACTTGTGCAAGAAATTTCCACGTATAGATTGTTTTTTATTTCATGATTGCTAGATATCAAATCCATTTTGATTTTTAGTGAAGAAGAAATATATCACAAGTACACTTTATATCATATTAATATCGTTCATCGCTATATGGACGAAAATAAATTCATACAATATCATTTGACATCGAAATACATGTAGTCATCACAGTATGCATCAACTTATAGGATATCATTATGAATATTAATCAGGTAATCTCTGTATGTATGAGAATAAGTTTAATATACAATATCATATTAAATATCGATCTAAAGTCCTCTTCACAAAAAAATCTTATGACCAAAACAAAAACTTGACAACTTTATTTTTTTTGTTTTTGTTTTTATAAAGATATTGAATAGTCTCTGAAATTCACAATATAATCTAATGATATAGATATATAAGAATTGTGTCTCCTACTGTGGCTTTAATATTTGTTGAAAAATTAATATTGTAAAAACTTCTGTTTATTCGTAAAACATTTCCTGAAAATGATCACTGTATATATGAAAATAAATTCACATGATATCATTTAAATCTCATTCTTTTCTAATTGTACTTACCTTTGCACGCGTCGTAAAATAGTGGTAAGTATCATATTACATTTCAGATGTCCGCGGTGTCATGGTCGAGTACTTAGAAGTATACAGTATTAACGCCAACTCCAACGAAGTTGTCAGCAAAACCGTCATTGAAAATGGGTTAGTATTCAGTGCCCATTTACAACAAACACAGATTCTTCTCTTATTTTGTCAAGCCAAAGTTTATATTAATCATATCACTTAGCTTTGATATTAATTTTAAAACTTGTGTTCGCAAAGAAAAGATAATGAAATATATCATGTAGATACATGTACACATATTTTGGGGCTTTTTCATAGATAATTAAAAATAAACACTTAGGTATCTGTGTTTCCAAAGATTTTTTTTGCATAAACTGTTACTGGTGTGGTACAAAATAATATTGCAAAATCATATTTCTTGTTCTAATTTTTTTGTCAAGTCGATGCTAATTACAGCTGTAAATTTAATTCGAAAGCTTTTTTTAATTAATGATAAAAATCTCGTACCAACAGTTCCAGAATTGAGCAAGCATCTAGGAAATAGAGCAAATAGAGCAAAATGTACGGAAGCCCATTTAGGACCTATTAAAAAATATTTTTGAATTCGATATAACGAATTGTTGAATTTGTTATAACGAATTTAATTCGTTATAACAGTTTCTTTGAATTCGTTATAACGAATTTAATCTGTTATAACAAATTTGCTGAATTCATTATAACGAATTAAAAAGTTGATTATAACGAATTAAATTCGTTTAAACAGATTCTAAAATTTGTTACAACAAATTAAATTCGTTTAATCAAATTCAACAATCAGGGCCTGTAGAAAAATATATATGAATTCGATATAACGATTTGTCGAATTCGTTCTAACAAATTTAATTCTTTATAACAAATTAAAGAATTCATTTTTACGAATTTAATTCGTTATAACAAGTTTTAGAATTCGTTATAACGAATTTAATTCGTTATAACGAATTCAACAAAGAAGATGGGTGAACAAGGCGTGCAGAATGCCTATAGCTTCAGATATTAATAAAATCACATTCAATTTTTGAATTAAGTATTTAAAATAAAGTTCTCATTATTGAAATTTATGAAATTATGACCAACAAAACTTTTCTGATAAAAAAAAGATCTCGGAAAAAATTATTCTTTTATTAAAAAAATAAAATGGTATTCGTGGGATTCGAACCCCTCACAATAAAAACCCGGAGTATCATATTGCTTTGAGACTAGCGCGCTAACCACTCCGCCACGCAGCTTCTGATGAATAGTGGCATTTAAATCGTGTTTGTGATATGACCCTTGACTTAATGGACTTCAAGTATTTCTCGGAAAGATGCGAATGTTTTGTCATAAAAGTGTACTTTTAAGGTATAGTGGGTCTTTGCTCCATGTTTTTGTTAACCAAAAAATGTATATTTTTATGCAAACTTTTAGGATCAACTTTCAAAAAAATGGAGCGAAGACCCACTCATATCGAAAAATTTTGTTAAAGTGTGAGAAAATGATCCTTTTTGTCCTCTTTAGTGTTTGTGTGCTATTTCGTAGGCTAATAATTTCAGTCTTTGTGAGATTTTTGTAAATTGTAGAGATTTCACAATAAAATATACTTTAATGTTACATGAAATATCAAAGAAAATTTTTATTTAATTGAGATTTTATTTTTCACTTCATGTTTGTCGCACTATAGGCACTTCGCCCGCCTTGTTCACCCATCTTCTTTGTTATAACAGATTAAATTCGTTATAACGAATTCAAAGAAACTGTTATAACGAATTAAATTCGTTATAACAAATTTGACAATTCGTTATATCGAATTCAAAAATATTTTTGATAGGTCCTAAATGGGCTTCCGTAAAAATGAGACAATATAGATCAATTTTATATAATAGCTGGAATGACTAAGTCTTTTTTTCCTTCTTATATAGATGTGTCTTAAGAACAGCTCAGCAGCACTTGGAGATTCCCATTAGAAATTACTCTGAAATGAATCGTGCAGGGACTGGTTGGGTAGCTAGAGTCGCCATGAAGGCCTTTATTCTCTTGCCAGGAGAGCCATTGTTATTCAAATCAAGATTACGTTTCTGTCCTGGAAAATGTCACGGAGTAAGTATTGCTTTCGTTGCTATATATTTATTAAGGATGTTCCCACACTTTCTCAAGAGACTCGGATTCTCTCGTTTTATAAATTCAAAGAGATAAAAAAAAAAATACACTTGATAAATCTCATATGAAATGGCGCTCCGTGTTTAACAACAGTCATTCTGAGGGTCGGGAAAGATCGGTTTCTGTGGAAGGGTCAACTATTATGTGAGAAAAAAAAATGGAGTTTCTGGAGCAGGTTGGATGATATTCTCTTCTTTTTCCAGGTATTTGTGTGCTCCGACAAGCACTCGGCCCTGATCAAATGGAGAGTGAACGGGCCATTTTAACGACAGGATATTATATTGTTTCAATATGGACAACTTCCTGTTACCTCAAATATTAACCATTTTCTTATACCTTCTTAAACCTTAACTTCACCATACAGTGCTTATTACATTAGATTTGGTGCCAGTTTTATAATGATAATATATATTTTTTATCCAGGAATTTTGACTAACCGATATTGCGATTTACACAGCTTGAACTTAACAGATTAAGTGAAATATTTTGGGATGATGGTGCCAGGCTTTAACTGTATTTATTAGTATATATTTTGGACAACCATGTCAACTGTTAATGTTTCAGAACCTATACGGAATTGCTATTTGGCACGTAGCATGGAGCGCCATTCCATATATATATTTATTCTGAAATCCAGATACCTGCATAATAATGTTGCATAATATTACGCTCTACTACATTTGCATATTAAGGAGCCTTTTGATTGATGACGTTTTAAATGAATGTCAGACCAGTATATTTCTTCGTTTAGCATAATGCTTCTGTCTATTTTTTTAAGAACCATGTTATATTTTGGGAGATAAGGGAATAAATTGATTTTTGAAATTTTGTTGCTGGAGGGTTTTTTTCTTTGTGTTTTCTAGGTAACTTGTGGCATGTAATGCGCAGCTGATGATGATAAAGAGGAACAGCAGCTTCTGTTTTAACAATCATAAGAATATTTATTCATTGTATGACATAAATATGTGTATGTATATACACAACACACTGTGATTTAATACTGTTACATGTATCTTGCTATAAATAGTATTTATGGCTGAGATACTTTTAGAAAAATGCAATTTCTAAGAAAAGTTCTTTCAAGAATTATATCTTTTTTTCAAAATGTGTTACATCTATACAACAGAACCAGTATATAGTGAGGCGTGTTTGGATATAAGTCTATATCGGAAGGATTATTTAATCTCTTTTTATCTCTTTTAGAATTTTTTGGAAGGAAACTGTTATTAAAAATAATTGACAAAAATTATTCATTGCTATTTCTCAATAGCATGAATTCCTTTGAATGTTTCAACTGATATGAAATTCAATTTTTTTAAGTACACTGACTGATTCGTTTTTCAATAATTGAAGATTAAATAAATGATAAAAATCGAGATAAACGAAAAGCCGACATCATAGAAACGTGAATACTGATTTTTTTTTTAAAACACAAATATAACTCAGAGATAAATGCGATCAAACATAGCCAAAAATTAATAGATATTTTTTGTAAAAACAGAGTTTATCCATCCAAATTTGCGCAATGGAATCATCATAAACAATGATGCCGTGCTGAATAATTAATTTTTAGGTCAACAGAGCTATTGCGACTCCTGCTTTTAAACTGTTGACAAACTTTTTTTTTCATTTCCTGAAACAACTTAACCTATTTCAGTTTATAGTATATGGCACTTAGAGATATGATGAATGTTAAGGCGTTTCTTTTTACATGTATCTCTGTCAAAAAATTCAACATTTCCCATTTCTTATCTTTTCAATTTTTGGAAAGAAATTGCACACAAGTGAAGAGAAGAAACACCTGAGTTAGGGAAATCAAGATTTACATCTAGTGATTCAATAAAGGTTGAATACATGTATGAAGTTGTTTTATGAAAGTGAATGTTCTATTCACTTTAAGAGCATAGAATATATACTTGCATACAGTTTATAATCTTTTCTTCGCTAAATTTCATTCTACTTCTATAATGAAGATCTTTGCGTGAGGCATCAGGTTCATCTGACATAATGGAACATTAAATAAGAAAGGAGTTAAAATTGAATATTTTCTTCTTATACCCATCACCAGCTATGGAATAGGCTTGCATGTAATTAAAGCGTCAGTCTGTTAGTCCGCATGCACAATCTGCTGGTATAAATCAGTTCCGTAATACATTCATATTTGCAGAGAAACATTGCTGCATTAAAAAAAATCAAGTTTAATATGAGCTTTTTGGTCAAATCTCTTGCTTTGAGGGGAAAAGAAATAATGGCAAACTGTTCGAAAAAAATCTCTTGAGTCATATGTATTTCAGATGTGAAGGCTACTTATATTTTAAGTAATTTTTAAGTTTTTACGACACCTTATTTTTTGCAATAGCATAGTTTGCGTTGATCGTAATAAATATAGTTTTTCTTCAGAATAAAAGCTTTGACAATGAAAGTTTCTACTTTTTAAGAATGATGCATTTTATATCTAACAAGGAAATCAGGTTTCAAGAAAATCACTTGACACTTTATCAAAAAAAAAAAAAAAAAAAAAAAAAAAAAAAAAAAGGTAAAAGAAATGCCTCTTTAACGTATAACGGTTATTTTCTGCGGTTGTCTATATTTGCGGATAGGACGAATTCGCAAAAAATACAATCGCCAAATATTCCTAAAATATTAAGATATTCTGCAAATGCATCATCTTTTACCGCCAAAGGTTGTAAATGGCGTGTATGTAAGGGTAGACTAAGCCGTGATTGGACTCTTAAAATGAAAACTGCTAACTGTATAAATACAAAAATGTTATGTAATCAGAGGTATGTAATAAAATTTGTTTGAAAAATAATTCACATACACTTACTTAAAGACAATTATTCTTTAGACCAAATCTCAATTTTAATTCACCATGAAAACAGTCAACATTTCAATGAAACGAAGTAGTGGTTTGAAAATTTCTTAACATTGGGTATTCATATCACTTAAATGAAGAATCATGCACGCTAGCTCTCGATTCCCGCCTACATTTTACACCCATTTAATTCAATATAAATGGCAGTTTTGCCACTAAAACTTGATTTATAAAACCCACAAAAGATTTTTTTTGTTTCACAGAGGGAGGGGGAAGTTTGTTTTTTTTTTTTGAATCCATTTTCCGTTGATTTCTATAGTGAAAAACGCAATTTTTACCAAAATTAAAGGGTTATCTCTCTTTGTTTTCCTGAATAAGTTATGCTTTATGAATATTTACATAGTTTTGTATATAAATATGAAAAACCATTCAAATATGTTAACTTTTGAAATTTTGAAATTTTCTGGCTAGGAGGTAGGCGGAAGAACAATAATATCGTTCGCAGTTCTTCTCTGTGGTATGATGCAACAGCAGAAATAAAAAAAAATCACAAACTTATTCGCTTCCTTTCAGGGGTTAAATCTTAAAAATTTTCAACCGCAGAAAATACCCGCTATTTTTATGCATATATTATACACGTATTTAGAATGAAATATGGAGATAACGAACATTGATCGAACTCAAAAGTCAAACGAAACAATGCAAATCGGGAGCAAAGCAAACATAGACCTTTAAACAAATCAGAGGTGGGATCAGGTGAATGGAGGAGTAAGCATCCCCCGTCGAACGGTCACATCTGCCGTGTGCCCCTCGTCATGACTGGGCAAACGGAAAAATCCATTGACAATTCAATATGTAAATAATGGCCTAAGAAAAAGTATGAAAAACGCCAGTCAGAATTCTTCTTCATGATAGATTGTATTTGTTGACAAAGTCATTGTATCGAACATAGAACTTGCGAAATGTTGAATTTAAATGACACTGTTGATATTCTTGTTTCATCAACTTGTTTGTCAATAGTTTGCCTTGTTTTAGAAATTGTTCGTACGTAGCTCTTGTGTGTCGAATCAACTGAAAGACATAAACTCCATATGCAGATGATAAGGGTATATTGCTACATAAATAAGGGAAGCTGACGATAGCAAAGTTGAAGCCATCACGTTTATCATAAAGTTTTGTTGTTAGATTACCATTAAAGTCTTTCTCGAGTGAAAACTCCAATAATGAATAAAAGATCAGGCTACGGGATCATCAAACAGACTCAGACTTACTTTAAGTCAACATTTTAATCATCTGTAAAACATTTATTACTTGTGAATTAAAATCTCTAATTAGCAGACAACAGCAATTCAATGATGCAAGGTTTAATGGCATGAACTTGTGGAACATCAATTGATCACTTATTCACGTGCTCTGTCGATTTTTCGTATATAGCCTTATATTCATTTAAATATTTTTTTTTGTATTTACTACCATCTTTTCCTAGGGCGTTTATTTTGATTTCCTATTGGACGAAGGTGTGGAAACTGTCGCCATTTAAGTTTATTTGAAAATTCTACTTCGTCCATTGATAAGAGAATGCAATATTCCTTATTAATGACAATGTAAGAGTGAAATTCGTTTTCTTTTGCTTCAAACACCTGAGCATGCAAAGCTGACTTTTTCATTACTTCAGAACAGAAGTCTTCTACTGCAGATCTCAACTGTCGAAAATACGAAACTTCGGCGTGAAAATCCTCTCCTTGTTGTCTGACTCTCTTCCAGAATATTCTAACAAAAAAGTTATACAAACAATAATCAAGAAATGAGTGTTGTTTATGAAGATATCTGTCCCGATAGCCTCTCAGTGGCACGTACTTTGACGTATTCTTGATTATGTAAAGGATATCAATCATATTCCAATTCAAAATTCTCCGAAGAAGAATAAGAGATTCGTCGAAGTACTCTTTAATCATTACAAGTTTAAACTCTGAGTGTATCTTTCGAAGATAAGGCAAAATCTTGTTTTTATCAGTTGTATGAAATAATTCCTGAGGTAATCCGAAGTCCACTGACATTCTGCTTTTTGTAAACGAACTCTGCAAAATCTTTGGCTCGTATTGACTCGGATTTTCTAGCAAGTATTTTATAGGGTATCTAATAGGAAGACGGGCAAGGTAGGGAACGTTCCATCTGTATTTATAGTAGTAAACAGAAGAAACAAATTGATCAAAAGGGTCCCTCACAATTCCAATGAACACTGTATCTTTTGGTAAATATTTTTGAAATGCCTTCTTATCGTATATCACATGACTGCACAATATGTCGAAAGTTTCGTCTTTGTCAATATGAAGTATGTTGTTGGTTGTGATACTTTCGTTTTGACTTATAAGGTTCGGACTTGATGCTGGAAGAATAAAATTTAACCGTCTCTCCCATCCAAATCTTTGAATTATACTTGTAACTGTAGAGCTTCCGGTCTTATGAACCTTAAGGAAAGCCACGTGACGAATTTCCTCTTTCATGAACTGGCGTCTGGAGGCCAGAAAGGAGTCTGATATCAAACTAAAGTTATTGCTTTGAAATTCATTTTCATTATCCACCGTTATAATGCTCCAGTCTCTGATTATACTCTGTTTTGTTTGGCATCTATTTGTGTATGATAAAGGAGAAATAAAGTGTATGATAAAAATCGCTGATAGAAACAAAAGTAACCATGTCCAACATCTGTTAAAATAAAACAATACTGAATGATAATAATTAGTCTTAACAATTTCTTTTGGGAGTATGTGAAATAAAATAAATAAATATATATATCCCTTAATTTAGGCGTGAAATGTTGACTTACTTTTTAAATCTGCGTCCCTTGAGATAAAATATGTTGATGAACGACATTATATGGATCACTTATGTACATGATAGGTTGATGTACAATCTCTGATAGTTGCTATCAGTTCATTAAGCAAACACTGATAGGGTCGCACTTGAAAGATCTTAAATATGTCCATTTAATCATACACAGGGAAAAGTGGCTCGCATGAATTTCATATGAAATTCGCACGAATATCATGCGAATTCTTCGCATGAGAAGGAGACGAAAAGGACCACGGATGATATCATGCGATTTTCACATGAAATTCGCACGAATATCATGCGAAAAGAAATTCGCACGAAATTCATGTGAAAAAAAAAGAACCCAAGTTTCATATGAATATCATGCGAAGACAAGCATATTTTTGTATCCAAGGTATTAATATCAAGCTATTATCTATGAGTGCCCCAAACCTCAATCCATTAATTCTATCCTTCTTTCTCGGAAACAGAATTTTTGCTTCTTGCAAATGAAGTTTTCTTGAAAAATTCTCTTTTTCTTACTTAGTCAGTTAATCCAGACACAAGTAATGCATGATTATACAAAAAGTAACTTTGAATTTGAAAGAATCAAAACTTGTTTTCTGGTCTCCCTGACTAAATAAAGACATTTGTGACATCAATTTCTACATTGAAATCTAAAACAATTGATCTTTTTCTATCTTCTTTATTGAGGTTCTCATCACATAAGATTTCTTTATCTTGAGGATTCTGTTGAGAGGGTGTTGTCGTTATACCTGAAAATACAAAAGTAAACAATCTCAGCTTATGGAAATTCATAATGGACAATATTTTTTTTTAAAATTAACTATGACTACCCTAGGCCCTTAAGTAGGATTAATACCTCTTGGTCATAATCACCTGTATGCCAAGTATTTCATCCATGCAGATACTACTCCAATAAAAAGTTGCATTTTCTGAACTCTATGACCTTGACCTTTTCTTATGACTTCTGTTCTGGAAATGGCATATCTTATGACCATTATCAACCATTAGGGCAGTATAATCTTTGGGAGTTACTTTTTTCAATATTATACAATTATATCATGTTATTTAAACTTCAATTCCTGTTACCTCTACATTGCTTAAATGACCAACATGCAGGGTTGTTTCACTGCCTCTAGTCATAATTAAGCAACCTTTGTATTTAGTATATATCCTCATAAAAGTTATGATTATTTTATATTTTGAAAACATATCTAGTTCAAATTACCCTATGTTAGACTTGGGATATACCTTTAAGTCACAGGTGAGTTTTGTCTCAGGAATGTCTACTGTGTTTCCATTATAGAGTTGTGAATGAAAATAATTTAATAAATTTTTACCCTTTTGACCTTGAACATATCTAAAATGCCCTTGGTACTGGCTCAAGGCTCATCTCTGGACACAAGCTTCCTTTCTATCAGTTATGAGCCTAAGATTGTTTTCTTGGTTACAAAGTCATGTTCAAATAAGAATTTAATTCTCTTATTCCTCTTTTTAAAAGTTTGACAAATCAGTTTGTAAATTCCTGTTACCAGTTAGTTCATATATAATTACAAAGTGTAGGGAAAAACAAGATGTGTTTGTGAAACACTGATGCCCCCGTATGACAGCTTATGGCGAAGGTTAAAGTTTCTCAAATGCAAGTCAAACTGCAAAGTCGAGAGATCAAAAATGCCCAAGCACCAATCATTCAAAAGTTATGGTCAAGGTTAATGTTTTCTAAAAGTGGGTCAAATTTCAAGGTCAAAGGGTCAAAATTAATGGTATTCAAGGGGAAGACCTTGTCATAAGAAATATACATGCAGAATATAAAAGCCCTAGCAACAAACTGTTCAAAAGTTATGGTCAAGGTTAAAGTTTTTTCTAAAGTAGGTCAAACTCAAAGGGCAAGGTCAAAATTGTTGATCTAAAGGAAGGTCTTGTCACAATGAATACACCTGTGAAATTGGAAACTATTCAAAAGTTATGTCCAAGGTTAAAGTTTTTTAAAAGTGGGTCAAAAGTTATGGCCAAGGTTAAAGTTTTTTAAAAGTGGGTCAAACTCTAGGGTCGAGGTCAAAAAGTCAAAAATATTTACACCAAAGGAAAGGTCTCGTCAGGATAAATACACGTGTGAAATCTGAAAGCCCTAGCACCAACTGTTCAAAAGTTATGGCCAAGGTTAAAGTTGGGTAAATTTTTACAAAAGGGGGTCAAACTCCAAGGTCAAGGTCAAATATGTTGGTACCAAAAGGAAGGTCTAGTCAATATATACAAATGTGAAATATGGACGGACGGGGTAAAAACTTATATACCCATGACTCTTCGATTACCAGGGCATTATTATAAAGTGGTTTAAAAGATAATTTCCAGACAGACAAACAGACATGATGATTCCTGGATACCCTTACAACTTCTTTGTAGGAGCTAGTATATAACTACATTGTAAGGGCAAAAAAGTTTTAGCCTCTACTAATAATATATGGCCCAGTGATCTTGACTTTTGAGATAATTCAATGTTTTACTACACCCACATCACTGTTTTCATTATCCCTGAATGCTCTCCCATTGGAAAATGGTTAGTCTGTACATTTCTGTTAAAACTTGAATTTCCTTAATCTGAGACTTAAACAAAACATGAGTTGTGCTAACTGGCCAAGTTTGCAATGGTTAAAATTGGGATTTAGGTGTGATTCTAGAGAATGTAATATGTACGTCTAGAAAGTGCAAAAGTTTACAACAGACAGACAGACAAGTTTTGACAGTAAAAAGCTTACTAAAGCTTCTGGCTTAGATGGGAATAATTAAATTACATATGTTCAGCTTAATGTCAAATTTAAATTGTCGGAAAAAAAATCATACATGTATTTACTTACATGTACCATTGACAAATCTGCTTGCATGTATCTTCTGAGGATATATAGGTACTCTGGTATTTGAAGCTGTGATGACATGCTAACTGTGCCTACAGTGAAATTAAAAATGTCAGATACAGTCAATTCAATAGCATTTGGTTAATTATCTCCTTAGTACCACTGCATTTTTATGCATTTATTCTATAAATTAGCAGAATATATTTATGAATTATAAGATAAGCCAAAATAATCTGAATGCTTATGGTTCGACTGCTAGTCTGATTCACATAATTCACAGGGAAAAAAAATCCTGCTTTTCTGCGGCCTTATCCTGCTTTTCTGCAATTATATTTTTGCTTTTCTATGTTTGATCTTCTATTATGGCCCCACCTACCCCCAAGGGACATGATTTGAACAAATTTGAATATACCTAACCTTACCTGAGGATGCTTCTGAATTTACATGGCTAATCATGGATTTGCAATTCTTTGGAAGAAGATTTTTAACTATTTCTCCTATGTATTCTCATTTTAAACTTTGATCACCAATTATGGCCCCTCCCTACCCGTGGGGGACACGATTTGAACAACCTCGAATGTAAACTATCAAGGATGCTTCCATATAAATTTGTCTTATAAATCACTGCTTAACTGTTCTTGAGAAGATTTTTCACATGTATGCCTAACATAAAAATTTGATCACCCATTTAGGCCCTCCCAACCCCCAGGGGTATTGATTTGAACAAACTTTAATTTATACTACCCGACAATGCTTCCATATAAATATGACCAATCATGGCTTTGCTGTTCTTGAAAAGGAGATTTTTAAAGAGTTCTTCTATATATATATATTTCTATGTAAAAATTTGTTTACTCATTGTGATCCCACCCTAGCCCCGGGGGTCATGTGTACCTGACACCTCAAGCTCTTCAAGTTGAGGTATAAGGTAGTACATGTCGGTCAAAAATAGAAATATTACTTTTAATGATATTAGGAAAATAACTAAAAACAACAAAGTGTATTTAAGGCTTTAAAAATGATTTTGCAGGAATAAATTTCTAAGACAGCTGGAAATTGAAGCAAATCTATTAAATATGCATGGATCGTAAGTGTAGAAGTGTAGGCCTCTGGTGCAAATAACGGAAACCATTTCTACTTGTCATCTTAAAAGGAAATTATTCGATCTTCACGCAGGCTGATAAATTCTTTATAAAAGTCCAAAAAAGTTTAACCATTGTAAATCCCTTGTACAACGTTTGCCTAAATTAGCTCCTTTTGCTGCGGAAAGATCGATTCCAGAACGGTGCAGACATGACATGATGTTGATCATAATTTGGTCAGCTTACTAGAGACACATTAGAACAGATAATAAAAAAAGTCTATCATAATTTTATATGTCTGCTTAGTTTTCTACATATATTCGATATATATCATATATCAATATCATATATTATCAGATTATTAGCAAACATCTGGTTATTGGCAAATCAGAAGCAAAATTTCTCTTCAAATTGCACAGATTATTAGTTTTGTAAAACCGAATATCAGGAAAATATAATGATTATAAGATAGAACTTGATGTTTGTCAAAGTGTGTTTTCATTGTACATACTGCCTTCTTTCTGTCATTATGCTTCTTTTACATGTATTTCTTAGTTTCATGTCTTTAAAATGCTTTTTTTTAAAATCCTGAGGTTAAATTGAATTGTTTTAGCAGCTTTACTTGAATTTTTATTTACATTTATACATTTTTACTTTTAATATTATTTTGTAGTTTTAGTTTCCTGCCAATAATTCTTGCTTTGCATTTATTTCACACAATAACTAATTCTTTAGATTCACCCATGTATACTTAAAATGTTTATGTAGACGATATTGGCGTGTTGTAGAATATTCATCTATTGGAAAATGAGGAAGTGAGAAAACTCAAAGAAAACACAGAAAGATGTTCAATATTTTAAACAATAAGAGGTGTTGATTTTTATGTGAAATCTAGAAGATTAAGTGAATACCGACAATTGCATTAAGGTCCATACAGATCCGGAATCAAGACAATACATTGAAGAAATTGGTGTTGATAGGTTTTATTTGATCCGATTATGTTTTTACATATCTTCTGATTCCTCGAACACAAATCTCTCATCTGACTTGTGACTGAAGATGACATTGACTAATGGACATTTTTATCGACAAATATCAATTCTGGAATAGGACATGGTTAGCCTTTTGGTATATAAGGTCAACAATCTAATCTATCTATTTTATACAATGACAGGAAAGCTTTGAACTTTTGTGAATTGTATTAAACAGACAAGTTTACGTCAACCAAAACCAAATTTTGCCACGGATAATTCCCTAAATTCATGGATGCGACTCAAGAACATACATCCAGTGGAAAACTGGATCATTTGGAAAAGACCATTTACTCAGAACGAAAATATTAATCAGACCCAACGATAAAAATTCATCTTATACAGGAATCATTTTAAGATGAACATGATAAAAAATCAACATTTTATCACGAGCATGCATGTAAGTGTACATTAATACGTAAACCATTAACATTTTATCATTATTAGTCGTTGTAATGAAAAGAGGTGAAGATAACGAACAGTGATCGATTAAAAAAAAACAAGATGTGTTTGTGAAACACTGATGCCCCCGTATGGCAAACTATGGCAAATGTTAAACTTTCTCAAATTAAAATCAATTATGTTGGTATCCAAAGTAAGGTCTTGTCTCGAGGAATATACCTGTGAAATATGAAAGCCCTAGCAGCAACCATTGAATATGGGAAAGGTTAAAGTTTTTCAAAAGTAAATCAAACATCAAGGTCAAATGGTCAAAATTAATGGTGCCCAAGGAAAAGCCTTCTCACAAACACATGTAAAATATAAAAAGCCGAAGCACCAATTGTTCAAAAGTTATGGCCAAGGTTAACTTTTTCAAAAGTAGGTAAAACTCCAAGGCCAAGGTCAATGGATTACAATTGTTGGTATCCAAAGGAAGGTCTTGTCAAAAGGAATAGACATATTAAATATGAAAGCCCTAGCACCAACTGTTCAAAAGTTATGGACAAAGTTAAAGTTTTTTAAAAGTAGGTACAACTGCTAGGACAAGGTCATTGGGTCAAAGTTGTTGGTATCCAAAGTCACAAGAATTACATACGTGAAGTGTGAAAGTCCTAGCACTATTTGTTCAAAAGTTATGGCCAAGGTTAAAGTTCGGTTAAATTTTGCAAAACTGGGTCAAACTCCAAGGTCAAGGTCAAAAGGTCAAATATGATTGTACCCTAAGAAAGGTCTTGTCACAAGGAAAAGATATGTAAAATATGAAAGGCATAGCTCCAACTAATCCAAAGGTATGAGCAATGTTAAAGTTTTTGCGGACAAACAGACAAACAGACAGACAGACGGACCGACGGACGGACAGGGCAAAAACTATATACCCCCGAATCCTCGATACGGGGGCATAAAAATTACAAACAATACACATCTGTGAACAGGGCATAAACACGGATTCCAGAAAATTCCAGAGGTGGGATCGGATGCCTAGGAGAAGTGAGCATGACCAGTCACACCAGCTTTGAGACCTAGTATTGATCAGGTAGACGGATCATTCTGTATTCAAATTCAGAATAAAACAAAGGCCTAACAATTGGTATGAAACACATACAACACAATAATAAGATATATTTGACCATAGAATTTACGAAATGATGACTAAAACGAGATTGTTGAAATCCGTGTAATATCAACTTATCTTACCGTAGTCTACCTCGGGTTAAAAATTGATTATACTCGGAGCATGCTCTGGAGTATCGAATATATTGGGAGACAAAAACTCCATTTGCAGGTGGTTACGGTAAATTACTATACGAATAAGGAAATTTGACGATGAAAAAGGTGATGTCCTCTCGTTTGTCATACAATTTAGTTGTTTTCGTCTATTGTAAGTAAAATATTCAAAGTTTAAACAGATATGACAGACTCTGTGGTGTCTTTTTTTTTTTTTACAAGTTCACTTGAATACATCGAGTCGACATATTAATGGAAGTAACTATTGTTAATTGATAAAACGTAATTGATATATTTGAATGTCGAGTTGAAGGCCACAACAAGTGTTTTCTTCTTCTCCTCATATAGAAGTCATTAAATAAATTCTGCTTCATTGGAATAAAAAGCAGGTCGGCTAATAAAGGAGCACAATTAGTGCCCATCTAAATTCAAAGAGCTTAAAGGAAGATTTGGTCTTCGAAGACTACATAAATGTTGTCTATGAGAAACTTCATCATCCTTTTAACATCAACTTCAAAGTACATGTACTTGTGTGTAGACTCAGAGTGATTTTGAAAAGTAAGTTTGTTGATGACTAATCACAAGATACAAAAATATGCTTCCATATTCATTGAAGAAGCAGTTGTCTATGATATTAAAAAGCCCAGTTTTAAATTCATGGCAAGGGATGGTTGAAAAGTCGTTATGAAGTTTAAAAGTCGTATGCTTTGATGTTATTGACTATAGAAAAAAAAATGGTCATTTTAAATTTTCTAATTATTCTTTGGAGTTTTTGAGAATCCACATTTGACTTTCATCACTTCTAGAATATGCTGTAGCACATTTCTCCTGTACAGCAGTTCATATTTTTGAAAGAAGTAAAGATAGGGATTGGTAGAACTTTTGTTGGACCCAGCAATGTATCCTTGTTTGTAAGGATTTTTATTAAGTTTATAGGAATCCAGTATAGGTAAGGTAGTTCGAAATTACCTTGGGTGATTGTAATATTAATGATAAAAGTATTGTACACTGAAATGTGATTTTAAAGAATCTAATCCTTAGAAGGTGAACTGTGAATGTAAGTTGGATTTTCAGATGTAGAATTAAAACCAAGCTCTTCTAAAATACAGTTGAAGTAATGAGCCTTACAAAACGAAGAATATTACGGGCCTTATCTACTGGAACCATGTCATATTGTTACAAGGAAATATAATCTCTCTAATTCATTTATCACCTCTTATTTAGTGAAAACGGAAGGACAAATTGTTCGCATATCGCCTTTTAACTTTCTTATACGATTCTTTAATATATTTCTAAAACAATTAATCT